AACTGTGAGGGGAGCACTTGCGGTAGCCATGGTCTGAAGCTTCTGTCTCCCAGACAAGTTCATTCTGTGGAACCATTTGACCATGTCTGACTATTTGACCACCAGATGAGATGATTTGGTTGTGAATTTCTTTCCACTTCTCCCTGGAGGCATGCTCCTTGTGGCATACAGATGTGGGGGAGGGGAAGAGTCCTGGGCATTGCCTCTGTGGTAGCACAGGGACAGGCCAGCATTCAGAGTCCCCCTCCCAGCCTCGCCCAGCTTGCCTGGCTGGGCACAGGTTCAGATCATGGTAACAGTGGACACAGTTGTCTTGGTGAGCTCCAGAATCCAGGAATGGGAAACACTGTGTCTGGAGACTGCCCCAGGGTGCAGCCCTTAGCCCATACCCTACAAGCCAGGCATTAAGTGTCTCTCCACTAAAGGTCAGCCTCACACTCTACCCCTGAGGACTTAGGTGGGCCCAGACCCCAGAAGATGAGTCAAGGCTAGAGGTGGGGCTGGTAAAAGTTCCACTTCCTGGTCCTTTGTAAGCCATAGAGTGACCAGAGTGACCTGCCTATAGACACTCCAGTGCTTTTGGCCTCTTGGCCCTAGAGGCCCCTCTGAAGACAGATAACCCCAGCCAATCAGGGAGGACAATTGTGCTCCAGCCCAGAGACCCAGGAAGAGAAAGGCATGGGTGTGGGTCTGGCCATACAAGAGTAACAGCCACCAGTACCCTAGAAGACCCCTCCTAGGCTGGTCTATTGACTCTGGGTACCTTCTCAGCAAGGGCCTCTTCAAGAGACCTGGGGCTAGCACATCAACTGGACACTAGATGGATCTGAAAGGATCCATGCCCTTTGCCTCCAACAGGAAAGTAGAACTGGCTGGTGACTCTAGCAGCTGTGTCCTAGAAGGGGTGTGTCACTCGAATGGTATGTCCCTGTCTGGTTGGACAGGTTGAGGGTGGCACACCAGAGCAAACCTGGAGCCAGCACTGGCTTAGAAGCATGCAGTCTCCCCAAGTGTGCCTGAAGAAGCCCCCTCCAGTGCAATGGCTCCTCCACACAGTCCCAGTGGCTTCAAACAGGGCCTCCAGGAACCTGCCAACTCCTGCAGCCTCCCAGCTGATTCCTAGCGTCCCAGCTGGAAAGACTGTTACAGAATCCCAGGAATGTACCTGGAGCTCAGAAAGAAAACTCCCGAAATAACTTATATAAATCCTTTAGGGCAGGGGTGTGGAGGACCACTCAGCTTGGCCTACAGCTGGCCTAGCACTGAGTACTGCTTCCCAGGGTAGGCTCCCTAAAAGACGGTAAAGCCCACCTACGCCTGTGTGGCCTTCCTGCTGTGCCTCCGTTCTCCATGACATCATGGAGCACTGAATTAATGGGGTGTGATAGTGTTAGTGGGAAAGCATAAGAAAGGGCTAGCAAGGCCCTTCCTTCCTTCCCATACCCAGCTATAGCCTCAGTTCTACCCAGAGGCTCAACAGACAACTAATTCCTAACAGGGAATGCCCGGTACCCTCAGTCTCCAGACCTCAGCAAAGTCCAGCAAAGTCCAGGCCCCTCAGACTACCTGCTTTTGAGGGCCCTTGTAGGCTTCCTGGGCTCCTTGAGGCAGCAAGTCCAACCCAGGAAGCCCTTAAGGCAGAGCCAGGTGTCCTTGGCTGTGTGTGTGTCCAGGTCCCTCCCACTTGGCTTCTGTTGAGGGCTACTGCCCTGCTTAGAGCAGAAAGGCTGGCAGGGAAGTAGTGTCTGAAATAGTCTCTCTCTCTCTCTCTCTCTCTCTCTCTCTCTCTCTCGAGCATAGGCCAGGGAAGGTCCTCAGAGCCCCACAGTAACCAAATATGATGTGGAGATGGTGTCTCTTGAGGTTTGCTCAACTCAGGAAAGGCTTCCTGGGAGAACCGAGCCCTGAAAGAGTGGTGTAGGCAGGAGCCCCTCTGAGAGCTGAGAAAAGAGGGACTAGAGGTGGGAATTTCTAGAGACTTTGAACATTGTTCTGTCCCTCCCAGAATCCCCTGTGATGGCTGTTTCTAGCCTAAGTGTGCCATGAAACTACAGTGTTCCATAGTCACAGATAACTTTTACATGACTAACAAATCCCTGTGAATGGGCAGCCCAGTCAGGGCACCACCATGAAGGATAGAAGCTAAGGGCCTCTTCACAGGACTAGATCCCTCCCAGCAGATGAGGGACAGGCGGGGACACAGGAGGGACTCCATGGGGACAGTGGATTGAACTGAGACACCAGTTCTGTGTTCCCACCATCTCCCTGGAGACCTGTTCTTACAGCCGGTGAAGCATCAGGAGGGTGCTTGATGGACCCTGGGGGCAGCCCCAGGCTGGGGACAGCAGATGAGACCTTTTGTCTTCCTGTGCTTGGGTCCCACCCAGTTGTCAGGCAGCAAACAGCACTGGGTTGCTACCAAACACAAATGCTGCTGGTGTCAGGGGCAGGTGGCCACAGATCCTGTTACAGGCCCTGGGCCTCCAGGCCTCAGCCTGACCCCAACCTGGCCTGGTATCTTCTTTCAGATTCTAAGGTCAGCATGTTGGGGCAGGGGGACATGAGCCAGGCCCACTGCACAGTCCTTCCTAACAGAAGACCCTGCCATCTCCTCCCTCTAAGGAACTTCACAGAGCTGGCCTCTCCATGCCCCACACCGCTGTGCTTCCCCTAGAGAAGTTGCCATTTGCTAGCTAGCTGCCTACTGAGTGTCTGGCTGTACCGTTTCCAGATCCATCCTTCCAGAATTCTCAGCAGCCCTGTGAGGAAGAACTCTACCAATTCCCCCATCCCCTGTACCACCCCCACCTCCCCACCCCCCAGTTTACAAATAAGGATATTACAGCTCAGAGACCAGTGGCCATTTGCTGGGGTCACAGTGCATGTCAGTGGCAGAGCTGGGAGTCAACCCAGCTAGGCCTTCTGGCTGTTAAGCTCTGGCCTTTGTCCTCTACTGAGACACATGATCAGCCTGCAGACATATCTGACTCCTTCCCAAACACCCACACATTTCTCTTTCAGTCATTCTGGGACTGAGTGTAATGCCTCCTAGTCACTAGGCAAGTGGTATACTACTGAGCTACATCCCTACTCTCCATTTATTTCGATATGGGTTTACTAAGTTCCCCCAGGCTAGCCTAGAATTCCATTGCCTAGGCAGGCCTTCAACTTGCTATCCTCCTGCCTCAGCCACCCAAGTGACTGAGATGACAGGTTTGCACCATTAGACCCCACTAGAGATCAGGGGTTTGCACTCCTCTGCAGTGGACTCTTCTTGCCAATAAAGCTTCCTTCCACAGGAAGCTCCAGTAAGAAAGCTCAGAGAAGAGAAGCAAGTAGACCCACCCCTCCCCCCCTCCAACAGGCCCTGTGGCCACCTCTAGCCTCAGTCACTCCCTGTGGGCAGCAGCACAGACTTCCCAGCTCCCTTTTTTGGTACTTCATTTTGGTGTCTGGCAGGCATCAGCTAGAACCTTCCTTCCCTCCAGCCTGTGGGCCCTGTTCCATTGTTAGCTACTTAAGGCCCTGCCCTGGCAATGTGGGAAGAACTGCATGGCCTGGGCACTGCTGGTCAGACAAGCACTGTCTGCCCCTGGTTCTGGTGACCCTGAGTCAGCACTGCTGTGTGCATCTGGTCAGAGCCCTGTGTGAGGCTACTCCCTACCCCCACCTGCTGTTCTTCAGAGGCAGCTGAGGCTGCTGAGCCAGTGGCTCCTTGGATGTGTCTATGCTTAGGATCATAGGAGAGTGCCACTCTGGAAGTCAGCTGTACCTCCCTGCTTTCTGGCCCCAGGACCTCTGGAAAGAGAGCCTTTTCTCAGTCTTCCTCAGTACCATCTCTCTTGCCTAATTGGTCATGTTCCAAGCTCTCGTAGGACTTATGAAGTCAGCCATGTACATCTTTCCTGGTGCATCTCCATAGCAACCAAGGGCCTAACTCTAGAGAGCTTGGGGAAGAGGAAAATAATCCAGCTAAAAATGTACATGGCCATCAGTGGGCGGGCTACAGAGAGGGGGCTTCAAGCACAAAGACAGCTCCCCGCCCCGACCCTGGTCCCCTGCCTACCCAGGAAGTCAGAGTTGGAGATTTACCTCCACTCTTTGGAGCAAGAGAAGTGCCCACTTCTCAGCATCTCGGGATGCCTCTGAAGGGGCAAGTCAGTAGAATGGTACAGAGCAGCCTCTCTGGGACCTGAAGCCTTCCCCATGCCCACACCCTGTCCCTTGTCCCCAGAGTGGAGGAAGGGGATGTTCAAGGCTGCCAGTTTCACTTCCCACCCCCTTTGTGACCATTCCTGGCACTTCCTCTAGTTCTCTTGCAACTCTTTGCAACAGTCCTCTGAGCTAAACTGCAAAGCTATGTTTCCTGCCTCCTGACCTGGGTGTCCAGCACCTTTGATCCCTGAGACCCTTCATGCTCTCAGCAACTGTTCTCTCCCTCCTGTGCCTTCACCTGCCAGCATAGGCTTTGCTGACTGCCTGATCTCAGGACCCAGCAGTCCCAGGAAGACCAGCTGCTGAGGCAGGTAGATAAGCATCCCCTCTTTGTCATGCTGCCAGTGACCCCTGGGGTGAGGGCAGCTCCAAGCTGCAGGCAGCATGCTCCCCGCTGCTGGAGCTGTCCTGGACAGCTTTGCCTCCATTAACTCATTTCTACTACCAGTCTTGGGTGGCTATGCCCTGATAAAATGCATTAATTTTTTTTTCCCCCTGTTTGTTGAAGAGTTGAATGGAGGGCCCAGGATTTCCCACAGGCTTGAAGGCCTATCTTTTGAAGATAAGAGGAACCTAGCTCCTACAGGGTTAAAGCAGGCACAGATTGGGCAGGGACAGATTGGTTTTGCATGAGTAAAGGGCACAGTCATTTGTCTATGGCCCAGCCAGGCCTGAGGGCCTCTCTGGCTGGTGGCCAGAAGCAAGCTATTGCTGCTCTTGTCCTGGTTGCTAAGCTTCCCCTGCCCAGGTGGCCTAGTTAACCTTGTCCTGTGCTTCCTTTCTAGGGTCTGATGCTGAGTCAGCTGGGCCACAAGAGCCTGGCCCAGAAGGTGCTGCGGGATGCGGTGGAAAGGCAGAGTACCTACCACGAGGCATGGCAGGGCCTGGGTGAGGTGCTGCAGGACCAAGGCCAGAATGAAGCAGCGGTTGACTGCTTCCTCACTGCCCTGGAGCTGGAGGCCAGCAGCCCTGTGCTCCCCTTCTCCATCATCTCCAGGGAGCTGTGAGCCTCCGCAGCAGCTGCAAGCCTGCCCGGGGGCAGCAGACACAGGCAGGGAAGGGCATGCATCCAGATGTGGGGCCTCAGGGAATAGATGACTAGTGAACACTTCCACAGGCTTCCATGCCACTTCTCCCCTACACTCCACACCCTGTAGGCCCAGCTGGGCCTGAGCTCCCATCTGAAGCTGAGTGGACAAGATTTGCATCCAAAGCAAAGCCTTGCTCCCTAGAGGTTGACGTGCTGAGCGCCTTTGATAAAAGGTGTGTCTTGGAGCCAAGCCCCATCCTCAGCTCCCCTGACCCCCTGGATTTCCTGGTTTGTGATGAACCAATCTTGAGTGTTTGTACCACAGAGATGAACTTGCTTGCCAGCCATCTTCTGGCTGGCCAGACTTTTCCTGGATGCCTTTCTTGGTGCCTTGGGAGACAAACTGACTTGAGACTAAGTGACTTTGTAGACCTGTGAGCAGACAGGCTGGAGAACCCCAGATGCAGCTCCCCCAACCAATCTCAGGGCAGTACAAGCTTGAAGCATTACCCAGGACAGCCACAGCTTTGAGGTCCCAGACATAGGGAGGACAGTGGGCTCTTGTCAGACTGAATTAGCATTGTTGATGCCCAGTGTTTCCTTTATAGAGAGGTTGTTCTACCACCAAGTGCCTTTGGAGCTTGAATCAGGCCAGGCCCCTAAACACAGTCCATCCGTCTTCCATTTTCATTCACTGTCATCTCCCTGGAGACATGCCCCAGCCAGGAGACTCCATGCGCCCTATGCTAGTGGCCTCTAGGATAGGCCTTAGAATACAGGGTTCGGACCTTGAGTACACAGTCCCTCAAGGCTGTCCCTACAGTGTCACCACCCACTTGGGTGAGTGACATCCAAGTGACCATTTATAGGCCTCAGCCCTGTACACCTCATCACCCACTGCCTAGTTTTCACCTTAGGCTTTGCTGAGTGCCCTAAAGCCCCAGCTTGGCCTTTTGTGCTCCCCTGCCCAGATTCCCACAGAAGCCGTGCTTGGGTAGAGACAGAGGAGGAACCTGACTGCGTCACCTTTCTGTGCCCAGTACTGTCTGTCAGGTCACTGGGCTGATGGCTGTCCCTAGCTCATCAGCCACGCACTCTGATTTGTACATTTCCCTCAGGAAGCCATCCCCCCCTCCACCAAGGCCTAGCAGAGTGTTTCTTTCTGTCTTCCCCATGCTCGGGGTGGAAGCTCCCTCAGGTTCACCTTGCTCTTGTGTTAGCATGTGTAAAAGAGGGTTGAGAGCTGCCCTGGTTTACCATGGCAGACCACAGCTTCCTTGGAAGGAGAAAGCCATTGGAGACTGGCTCCATGGTGTACTGACTTAGCCTGCTTGTCTCCTTGTGTCTCCAGAGAGCTGGTGCCTCCTGGCCACAGCCACAGGCCAAAGGGAGGATATTCAGTCCTTGGTTGAAGGGTCTCTGTGTATATGTGTACATAGACACATATATGCTAGAGAGCTATAGAATTTATATAGAATTTTTATAGAATTCTGTTAGAGTAAAAAAAAAAAGCAGATATTATTGGTATACCGATATACCTTGGTAGTCAATCTTGGCAGTGGGAAAGACAACAAATGCATTCTGACTAAGCATTCCCTCTTTGGAGGCCATGGGAGACAGGCCCAGTACCTGACAGTGACTTTGGAAATTGAATAAAAGACCCTTGAAGGGAAACAGGATTGTCTGAATCGTGTGTTCATTTAATTGAATGGTGCGCAGCATAGAGCAGTGATCCAGGCTGTGGAGAAGAAATGGCATCAGAGGAGAAACCCAGAAGGCAGGAACCTGGGAGGGCTGAGGAGAGGAGAGTGAGGAATACAGAAGAGGCCAGCCTCCAAGAACGTTGAGTCTTGTCAGGTAAGCAGTGAGACTAGAGGTCAGGCCAATGCCTGGAGGTTCTCCAAGGAGGCAGAGGGGTCTGGACCTGGACCAGGGGTTTGGCCTGGCCTATGGCCTGTCTTTCAAATAAGCCTGCCCAGTAGGAAACCTCGAGGATTGGGTATGTTAGCAGTCAGGCATCTTCACCGCCCAATGCTAGCAGGACAAGTCATCACTAGCTGCCAATGATAGCAGGACAAGTCATCACCAGCTGCCAGTGATAGCAGGACAAGTCATTAGCTGCCAATGATAGCAGAACAAGTCATCACTAGCTGCCAATGATAGCAGAACAAGTCATCACTAGCTGCCAAGATGTGACACATGCCTACTGTGGCCATGAGTTGAATATCCTCCCGCTGTGCACATGCTCCAGCCCTCCTTGCTGCGCTCTCTATTCCCTCCACCCTCACCCAGAGGCAACTTCTGCATACCCCTCCCCCACAAACCTCCCACATCCAGGTGGACCTGTACTAAGAAGTCTGTAGCAATGCATCCAAAGTAACTATGATTATATAATTATACAAATATAAGTTGTCTATTACAGACCTTGCACCAAATTTTTTCAAAAAATGGTGTAAGTTAACAGAAAAGCTCTATTATGTCATGGTAACCCTGACCCCACAGGGATTGTCTCCTACACTCCCAGAGTGGTGCCACCCCCTACCCCCCCACACCTCCAACCATACTTTGAGGACAGCCATTCTGTGACTTCCCCCAGAATTCAGAGCTGGTCTAATCCAGAGCCCTCTGCTTCCCAGGGCAGCCAGCGTCTGTCTCTATCCTTGCCCATGTGACTTGACACTGGGAGACGAGGGAGGAAGGGCTTTGTGGGGAGCCTAACTGGTTTGTTTTATGGTTTGTTCCCTTTAATAGAAGTGGTGTCACGAATTGAATCCAGGGCCTTGAGAATGGCAAGGATGTGCCTTTTACCACTGAGCTACATCCCTATCTCCCTCCCTACTTGTTTTCAAAGCAGGATTTCATGTGACCCACACCGGCCTTGAAATCAGGATGTAGCCAAGGATGACCTTGGATTCTCTATCCACTGGTCTCTCTCTCCCAAGTGCTGGGATTAGACACACACCACTGTGCCCAGCTCTGAGGACCAGCCTCCTTAGCTGTCACTCCTTCTCAGACAGCACACAAATTCTAGTCACTGACAGTTGGTATCGTATTACTTGTTACCCACCCAAGCCCTCAATGTTCTCCCCTTTAAGACTGTCTTAGACACAATGGCAGTGTTTGCCCAACTAGGGTAGGCTAAAGGAAAAGGCAGCGACTCAGTCTCCTATTCAGCAAAGTGTTGACCTGCAGACATGGATCTAGTCAAATGTGTGTGTGTGTGTGGGGGGGGGGGTGTCTGGCAGTGAAGAATCCCTGAATCCTGGTATTTCCTGACACCTCCACGAAACCCCACCCTGTTCCAGTCCACAGACTGTGTTCACAAGCCCTCATTAGAGAACAAGAAAGCCATCTTCTTCTTGGAACCCATTCCTACATAGGGCTTAAGTCTGGGGACAAGATTTGCGGCTGCCTTGTACTCCCCCACTCTGACCCTCTAACCCACACACCATTTTCTGAAGCATGTGTCACACACACACACACACACACACACACACACACTTGTGTGCATCTGAATTAACTGTTAATCTGCAAAAACAAATATGAATGGAATTTCAGCGGCCAGTACTCCAACTCTTTGGGGTACCAAAGAGCTCACTATTGAACAAGCTCCCTGATCATGCAAATAATTCTTGGCCTTTGGAAGTCTCACATTAAACAACCCTCCCATTTGTCCACTCCACCTGCTAACTCTTTCTCCCTTTGCTTGAGCAGCCTTGAAACTAGCCACACAGTGTTAAGTCAAGGATTCTGGGAGTCTGGGGAGGTACCTGCAAAGTCCCTGCTGTCTGCTGCCATGGATCCTCTGAAACTGTCACCAAGTGTTTTTAATTGTAAAGAAGAGGTTCATCAAAGGCCATGCAACAAGCAAGAGTTGCTCCCAGGAGCCTAGGTCAGGCACTTCATAACAGTGGTCTGGGGCTAAAGCAGCTATGACCTTCATCCTATCATGACAGAGGCAGGACAATGACACTGTAATTACCATCCTAGTGGGAGCTTCTCTCTATCCTAGACTTGTTGTGTGGCCTTGAGCAAGTTGTTTAACCTCTCTGTACCTGTTTTCTCCTCTGCAAAGTAACAGTGAAATAGCCGCTTTGTGGATGTTGATTACATAGGAAACCCTTTGAGGACTCTGAAGACCACCAAACTGGCCTTCAGCCTCACCCCCACTCCCCTATTACCTACAGCACTATGCCACAGGGCAGCTGATTCTTGAGCAAGAAAATCCACTTGAGGCCACTTGTATGGATCAGTTGGGATCCTCAGACTGCCTTCCCTTGGGTATGTGCATTACCTTGATCCAGTCAATTGTGACAAAAGCCATAGGTCTCAGGACACCAAATATAGCAGCTTATGTAACTAGAATTCAGTCCTTTCTGAGATGCTGCACAGCTAGGTTCTTCCTTCTGTTTAATGGTACAGGATGGGTCCCTCCTGTGGGGCAGACAGAAGGACATAGCCACCTTCCTCTTCATTTTCATTACCTGAGAAGCAGTGGTGGGAGCCGCTCTCCTATGTTTTCCTCTGGGATGAAGTCACACTGACACACCTACATATATACATATCTATGGCAGCACTGGGCATGCACATAACATTAGGCTCACAATCAACTGCTTAACCACTCCTTTGGTAGTGGGGGACTCTGTCCCTCCCCCAAAAAAAAACCAGACCATGTATTACCCACACTTGTCTGCTGTATAACAGGGCTGAGAAGATAGAGTCTGTGCTCTGTCCTCTGCCACCCTCTAAGGACACGAAGAGATCAGGAGCTCTGGGGATGGAGACACAAGAAACTTCTCATTCCCACAGCAGAGGGATAAGGGGGTCCTGGATACTGGTTCCATAGAGGTCTTTTCAGACAATGTCCCAGGGAAGACTACACCAGTCCCGAGGCCTTGAGTACCTAGAAGCCACCAAACTGCTACCAGAGTCACCAGGCTGGCTGGCAAGAAGAGAACTAAACGGTACTCTGTGCTACCCATCTCCCAACCCTTCTGAACCAGAGTGGTGGTTCCTTAAGCAAAGGACCCTGGATTTCCAAAATAATAATGCCACAGCAGATGCCAGGCAGCTGGGAGTATGGGACTATAGGAACCGTGCGGACCCTGCAGTTCAGATGGATGGACTGTTGGAGATCCACATGCTGCTCCACAGCCTGGTAGACGGACCCAGCACATGCACATATGGGAAACTATCCAGGCGCAGAATGCCATCCCCTTGTTGTTCTCAAGCACTTGGCCTTTCTTTCCCTTGCACAAATGCATCTTTAGACTTCGCCCATCAGTCACTCGTCACCTTCGTCAAAACCATGTGTTTGGTGTAAAGCATCTGAGGTTAAGTGTGTGTAGAAACTCTGCCCTGTACTCTTCCACACTTTGGTGTATCTTTCAAACCTAACAGTTTCCTGTCTTACCTTGATGCAATGCTGTAGTTAGTCCTCTGTCTATTCTCCAAATAACCAAACAAGGATACCAACACCGCTCAATAGGGAAAGGGTAGACCTAACAAACAGGGCTGGGAAACTGCAATCCACACGCAAATGAATGAAGTTGGACTCCTGCCTAAAACCACACTCAAAATTACATAAAAATAAATATCAAAGACCTAAATATAAGACCTAAAATGTTAAAAAATCTTAGAAGAAAATGCAGAGGGAAAGCTTTTGGACACATATTTTGATGTCCTCCTGGGCATGACAACAAAGGTACAGACAACAGGAAAAGAAACTATCTCATGAATATTTAAAAATCTGATGTAAGAGACATCATCAGCTGTGTAAAAAACTTAAAAATCCTCTATAATACTCAGCTCTACTGGGATTCCCCAAAGAATTAGAAGTTGAGTCCCCAAAAGAGAGATTTATACATTTGTATTCACAAAAGCTAAACCATGGAAGCAATCCAAGTGTCCACAGGCAGATGACTGGAAAAGCTACACACACACACACACACACACACACACACTGCCATAGGTGAGTGACATCTAGCATGCTACAGATGAGGCTGGAGATAGGAGTGGTCACTCAGGCAATCTGAGGTCTTTAACCACAATGTTTATGCCTGCCACACAGCCACTGGAACAGGTCTACAGGACAGGGGTAGGAAAGTAAGGAAGGGGCCAGGCTTTCTACTTCAGTGCTGTGACTTTTGGCATCCTCTGCCTAATGAAGAAGAAACTTCACATGGACACAGTGGGAGAGATTTGCAGTCAAGAAGGTCATATGTCCTTTGGTTGGAGCCAAATTCACTTGAGCAGCTGGAGGTGGGGTGGAGGAGGAGAGAGCTGCTCAGGGGAACCAGGACAAGGACCTTGGTCACAGCAGATGGAGGAAGGGAGGTGGGATTACTTTCTCAAGATCCTGAAGAATCCCTCAGGAATTTAAGATGGGTTAAGATATGGAGTGGGGACCATCCAGGGAGGTCTGCAGTCCCATAGATGTGTGGCCTGCACAGAGCTTCCTCAGTCAGTCTCAGACGTGTCATATGAGGCACAGGACGTTCTTAGCTGCTAAGCATCAATGTTGAATCTCATACCCTATCTCAATGCTTTTCGGGTTTGTTTGTTTGTTTGTTTGTTTGTTTGTTTTTCAGACAGGGTTTCTCTGTGTAGCCCTGGCTGTCCTGGGGATCTCTCTGCAAATCAGGCTGGCCTCGGGACCCATCTGCCTCTGCCTCCTGAG